TCATTGGTGACTCTGGCGGGTAGTGATGTCATCAACAACATGTGGGACTGCCATTGGTGAATCTTGTGGGTAGTGATGTCATCAACAACATGTGGAACTGCCATTGTGACTCTGGCGGGTAGTGATGTCATCACCAACATGTGAGACTGCCATTGGTGACTCTGGCGGGTAGTGATGTTATCACCAACATGTGAGACTGCCATTGGTGACTCTGGCGGGTAGTGATGTTATCACCAACATGTGAGACTGCCATTGGTGACTCTGGCGGGTAGTGATGTCATCAACAACATGTGGAACTGCCATTGGTGACTCTGCCGGGTAGTGATGTCATCACCAACATGTGGAACTGTCATTGATGACTCTGGCGGGTAGTGATGTCATCAACAACATGTAGAACTGCCATTGGTGACTCTGGCGGGTAGTGATGTCATTACCAACATGTGAGACTGTCATCGGTGATCGACTCTGGCGGGTAGTGATGTCATCAGCAACATGTGAGACTGCCATTGGTGACTCTGGTGGGTAGTGATGTCATCAACATGTGAGACTGTCATCGGTGACTCTGGCGGGTGGTGATGTCATCACCAACATGTGAGACTGCCATCGGTGACTCTGGTGGGTAGTGATGTTATCACCAACATGTGAGACTGTCATCGGTGACTCTGGCGGGTAGTGATGTCATCACCAACATGTGAGACTGTCATTGATGACTCTGGCGGGTGGTGATGTCATCAACAACATGTAGAACTGCCATTGGTGACTCTGGCGGGTAGTGATGTCATCACCAACATGTGAGACTGCCATTGGTGACTCTGGTGGGTAGTGATGTTTTCACCAACATGTGAGACTGCCATTGGTGACTTTGGCGGGTAGTGATGTCATCATCAACATGTGAGACTGTCATTGATGACTCTGGCGGGTAGTGATGTCATCACCAACATGTAAATGTTGAAATGAAATGACCATAGCGTGAATTGAGAAATATACTTGACATAGTCGTAACTTTTTTTCATCCTGTACATGTATGCACGTGTGCATACGTACCATTTCTAAATGACGAATATACTAGTATTTGACATAGCCGTAACTTTTATATTTTTTAAGAAATGTTTTATACTCGGATGCAATTATGGTATATGCGAGATGAAATGGCCACCCAGCAAATAGATACACGTGCGTATTGCACGTGTACACGTGCGTACTGCACGTGTAATGCGTAAACTTGATTGCCTTTTAATGACTTTTAAAGGAAATGACTACAAATGGAGTTGGGGAGAGTTTGAGGAACATCGTTAACGGTCCCCGTTACAATTATGGCTAGTTTTTTTTATCGATTTAAACATTAAAAAGTAGGGTCACCTCGCTCACCTGAGCACTATGGCTAGGAAACAGCAGAAATCAGTTTATTTCTAAAAAGTTTAAACCCAAAAATCGTCCTAACCAATCCTTAAAGGAAAGAGCATATGATTTGAACAAACTTGAATCTACACTAACTAAGGATGCTTGCATATTTCTATGACTACCTTTGGCTTTATTGTCTATACATTTGAAATTACATTGTGCCCCCCCCCCCTCCTTGCCTAACTAAAATATGACCATCATGGCTTTGTTGTCTTTGAAATTTTTTCCCTATAAATTACTATGTAAAACTTTGATTGGCCATTGAGGTGGGGGGGGGGGGGGTCATTATTTAAATCTACACTACCCGACGATGCTTCCTTATTGAAATATGACTAATCATGACTTATTCTTGAGAAGAAGATTTTTAAAGAATTTCCCTTTTTATTTCTTTGTTAAACTTTGATCCGCCCTACTCCCGGGGTCATGATTTGAACATACTCAAATCTACACTACTTGAGGATGTTTCCTCCATAAGCTTCATCTTTCCTGGCAAAGTAGTTCTTGAGAGAGAAGAATGTGTTCAAAACTTGCCACTAAAATTTTCACTATTTCTGAATTATTTCCCCTTGAATGAGGGCATGACGCTTCATTTGTCCATTAAACTAAAATCGTCTTCACTCAAGAATGCTTGTGTCAAGTTTGGTTGAAATTAGCCCAGTGGTTCTTGAGAAGAAGTCAAAAATGTGAAAAGTTTACAGACAGACGGAAAGTCAGACTGCCGCCGGACAAAATGTGAAAGGAAAAGAAACGCGGTGTGTACACACCTTTGAGGTGAATTCAATTTATATCTTCTTTTTCCCATTTGATTTTGTCGTATAATTTATGAGATATTGAAACTTATGTATATCCCATATCCAATACCCCCCAAAAGTGAAAATCGGAAACTCTCATTATCTTCAATGTCTCCCCTGCGCATCTGTAACAGCCTTGTTTCGCCTTTGCATGGAATTCATCAGAGTGCCTCGGGTATATATTGGGCATGGGTAACCAAGCCGAAAAATTAGTCAAACACCCCACGCATGCGCTAGTAAGAGGAACACAACATAAAGTTTACCGAGTCAATTTTATTTTTATGCCCCCGTAAACGAAGTTTCGGGGGTATATAGTTTTTGTCGTGTCCGTCCGTCTCTCTGTCTCTCTGTCTCTCTCCGCAAAAACTTTCTTGCCTCTCTTTTGATTTAGTTGAGCTATGACTTTCATATTTCATAATTCCTTGTGACAAGACCTTTCTTTGTACCACCAAATTTGACCTTTTGACCTTGACCTTGGAGTTTGACCCACTTTTACATGAAAATTTTAAACTTTTACTTTGGCCAGATCTTTTTAGACACCAGGACATTTATACTTCACATATGTAATGTTTGTTGAAAGACCTTTCATTGGATACCAACAACCTTGACCCTTTGACCTTGACCTTGTAGACTTATGAAAAAACTTTAACCTTGGCCATAACTTTTGAACGGTAAGATATAGGGCTTTCATACTTTATATATGTAATCCTTGTGAGAAGACCCTTCATTGGAAACCAAGAACTTTTACCCTTTGACCTTGACCTTTGAGTTTGACCTACTTTAAAAAAGCAAACCTTGATAAATTTTAAAAACTTTTAGATATTTCATCCTTGTGACAAGACCTTTACTTTGCTAACAAGAAAATTTGTCCCTTTGACCTTGACCTTAGAGTTTGACCTACTTCAAAAAAAATTTTAACATTGGCCATAACTTCTGAATGGTTAATCTACATAAGCATTCTATGAAAGATCTTTCATTGGATACCGATTACCTTGACCCTTTGAGCTTGACCTTGGAGATTTTGCACTGATTGAAAAAACTTTAACATTGGCCTACTTTCAAATTTCACAATTGTTTTCCAGTGAGAATACCCTACTTTTGGTACCATTAAATTTATTTGCATTTAAGAAAAGTTTAAACTTTGCTATGTTGCCATACGGGGGCATCAGTGTTTCACAAACACATCTTGTTTTAAATTTTTATGCCCCCGTAAACGATGTTTCGGGGATATATAGTTTTTGTTGTGTCCGTCCGTATGTCTGTCTCTCTGTCCGCAAAAACTTTAACCTTGCCCATAACTTTTGATTTAGTGGAGACATTACTTTCATATTTCACATGTGTATTCCTTGTGAGGAGAAGACCTTTCTTTGGATATCACCAAATTTGACCTTTTGACCTTCACCTTGGAGTTTGATCCACTTTTACACAAAATATCCAAACTTTTACTGCGGCCATATCTTTTCAAAAGCAGATACCAGGACTTCTAATTTTCGTATATACTTTGTGAAAAGACCTTCCATTGGATACCAACAAATTAGACCTTTTGACCTTAGAGATTTCTGTACTCGTGAAACACGTTAACCTTGGCCATAACTTTTGAACAGCAAGAACTTGTACTTTCATACTTCACATAGGTAATCCTTGTGAGAAAACATTTCATTTGATACCAAGAATTTTGACATATTGACCTTGACCTTGGAGTTTGACCTACTTTTAAAAAGCAAACCTAGTCCATAACTTTCAAAGGGTTAGGGCTAGTGCATCCATACTTTACATATTTAATCCTTGTGACAAAACCTTTCTTTGGGTACCACCAAATTTGACTCTTTGACCTTGGAGTTTGACCTACTTTTCAAAATTGGTAACCCTGGCCATAACTTTTTAAGGGTTAGGGCTAGGGCTTTCATACTTTACATATGTATTTTTTGTGGCATGTCCTTTTATTAGATACCAATAACCTTTACCTTTTGACCTTGACCCTATAGATTTCCATACTTATGAAAACTTTAACCTTGGCCATAATTTTTTAATGCTAAGGGTTATTGCTCTCATTCTTCACATATGTAATCCTTGTGAGAAGACCCTTCAATACCAAGAAATTCGATCCTTTGACCTTTGACATACTTTAAAAAAACAAACCTTGATCATAACTTTCGAAGGATTAGGGCTATTGCTTTCAAACTTCTCATATTTAATCCTTGAGACAAGATCTTTCATTTAATATCAAGAATAGAGACCTATGACCTTGGAGTCATTATGACAGATATAAAGGGAAAATCTGTAAATTCCTTCTCAAAAACCACTGCCCCAGAAAAGCTGCAACTTTTATGGAAGTATCTCTGGATAGTGTAGATTATAAATTGTTCAAATCATTTACCCAGGGGTACAGTGGGATCACAACTGGTATTACATGGGCAGAAATCTTGTGAAGACAAGCATATCCAAAATTACTCTGGTGATTGTTGTGGTTGATGGGCCTTTTGCTTTTCAGAGGAAGTGATCCTTCAAGTACAATTATACCAAAAGTATTGTGGATTGCTTAAAATAACTTTTCTATCATGTCTCCATGATAAAATTGCATTTCCTCCAACCCATACTTCCATGAATTAAAACGTTTACTATACTAATTGATATGCCCAAAAAGATGGAAAATGAGGGACATCATGTTTGTCTTGTCTGTTCCTCTGTTGAAAAAACTTTCAGTTTTAAACTTTTAACAGTATAGATCAATTCCTTAAGTCTAGTGTAAATATTTGACAATATTTATTAATAATTTATGTCCTTTCAAAATTAATTCTATAAAACAAATGACATTTTTTACTTTATTTAATAACAAATCCAATGAAATTGATGTTACAATCCTTTCAAAATGCAGCATTATGCCTCTAAAAATGTTACAACTTACATCAACATATTCTATACTTGTAGTTTAAATAACAATACAATTTCGCAAAGACATATAACAATTCACAATATGCATTTTTTCCTCATCTCTCAAATATTTGTTCTTTCATAAATTCTTTCAACAAGACTTCTCGCACATCTAGATTCTTACATAACAGGACCCACACTGGCTCTATACATACACACACTAAAATCATAAAGATCACTTCTGTGAAAAGTTGAAACATACTTTTGTATCTATCAGTTGAAAAATACTCAAATTATTTTTTGCCTACAAATACTTAGTGTGAATTAATATGCTTTGCTCAGAAGACATAAAAGAAAACTAACCATTGGACAAAGCAAATAGAGAGAAAAAAAAACTTGCATATTTCATACAGTTTTAGTATCTAATGCAAGCTGTTTGGGTAAATAGGACCTTAGTTGTCCGTACTGAAAATTGACCCCCCCCCCCCACCCCCCACCAAAAAAAAGTAAAAATTCCCAAAATGACAAGCAAATAGAATTTTTCAGTATATTTATCCCAATGTTGAAATGCGAGATTTTGTAAAACCATGCAAAAAGAAATAGATTGTACCTACAAGCTTTCCGTTGTCTTTATTCTATAGAACATAATACATGTATAACAAATATTTCAAATTTTGTCCCTTTTTTCTACTGTTCCGAAGTTTAAAGTTAACACACTTTGCACAAAAAGGTGTTAAGTTTGCTTCTGCATTATGAAGTCTGTTAACATTTGCAGTTTTAATTAATCAGGACTACGGTTTTGTACTTCTGTCGTGGAAGGTTATAATAAGTTACCATGGGAATGAGAATATTCATTATCAGTACTGATACAGAAAATGTACCTTCTGCACCCTATATTCTTAATAAACAGTGAGTTAAATTTCCTCAATCTCTCCCATTCTTCATGTTAAATGAAAAAAAAGTAATTCCATGCAAACACTGATAAATACATAATCTGATCACACTCATTCAGGACAAGATGTAAATTCGTGTGAATGTGATATGTTGGTCTATAATTCTTCTCGTAGCTTTGCTGCCTCCGGTGCGTATTTTGGCATTAGTTCCTCCACTTTTTTGATGAAGTCTGTTTTTTCAGCACATCCCTTACATGCGTTGTCCTCTCCCCAGTCAGACAAGATCTTCTTCAAGTCCTTCACCTTCAGCTTCTTCAAAACCACCTTTGTTAAATCTATTTGTTTGTCTAAAATGTAAAATATTAATGGTTCAGTCAATTCATATGAAAATAAAGTTAAGAGTTGAAGACATGCACTTGTTTAGATCTTCAGTTGTAGCAATGTCTATCTTAACTTGATATTAACTGGCTTTCCACATGAAAAAACTCATGCAAGAAAACATAAGATCAATGAATATTTTACTTAACTGAGGTAATATAAACCTCTCCTTAACCAATTTAATATGAGGCCCTTGGGCCGCAAAGCTCACCTGTGTTACTTAAAACTGGCACAGCTAGGGTTTGACATTAAGATTTTGGAATACTAGACTCTGGCAAAATTTTACCAGCCCTGACTCTTTAACCACTAGCCCTGACCAAACTTGAGAAATAATTTCAAAGTACAAAATAGTGATAATTCTAATTTCTGTGCAGATGATGATAATCCATATTTAAATATCGACATTTTCCCGCACACATTTCACACAGAAACTAGGTCATATACATGTGGCTAATATAGTAATCTTGTATACATGCAATATTAATATTGATACCTGTTCAGAGACTTTAAGTATAGTAAAAATAATTTCATTACTATAGTTTTAATACTATTTACATCGTTTACCTTTGTCGTAAACATGAATCTTTCGAAAATGATAATGGTAACTACTTAGCAATTTTTGGACCGATAAATAGCTTATTTTGTTCCTTCTAGGAAAATGGCCGAGTATTTATGAATGCCGACAATGAACTGTTCTTAAAAATAGCACTTCAGTAAGCTGTCTGTAACATATGTAGTTTTCTTTCTACTATGCAGTTAGAAAATTTTTTATTTTATTTTTTCAGGGACAATAAATGATTTGTTAAAAAATGTCTAGGTTCCTTTATTTTTCTTGCACAACCAGTCGGTCTAGTACATCGGCATTTTACCCGACTGGACCCATATCTTACTAGACTCAGTCAGTCGGATGTGCCTAATGTCAAATAGTGATGAAACGATTGTCGCCGACGATCGACTGTCAATCGTTTTTGGTGTTCGATTCCGATTATCGATTACGTTTTTCATAATCGATTGTCGCCCAAATAAACTTGAACGATTTAAACGAAATAAATACTTACGCATTAACAATACATGTAAAACAAAAGGAGGTCAACAAATATGGCGTCTGAAGACGAAGTTAACCAAAATCAAGTAGAAATTTACCCATATCCAGGGAATGCATAGATAGAATGTTCTATCATTAAAATGATATTGTCCTACGGGCCCGGCTTTACGATAGAATTTGTTCCGTGTACTCGTAATGTACTGTAGCAAAAGAAACAGGCAATAACTCGGAATCAGTACATTTACTACAGACAATCTAAAACGTTCTGAATGTAAAACATGGCAGGTAAATTTGAAGCGAGAGAAAAACGTTGAGAACATTAATTGGATTTTCATCTTTATAAGGATTATTTTTGGGGGTAAAAGGCATAAGCAATCTCAAAAATGTTTGTTTTGATTAATTTGGAAGTTATTTCAAGTGCAAATCCTTTTATATTCTCCGCTCCGATTTGCTACATTGCAAGTATATGGGACGTATTCTAACTGTGGTGAGGCTTGTGCCGAGACACAGTTAGATTATTCTAACTAGGGAATGCAAAATCTGATGTCATGACAAACATTTTTAGTTTTAATGAGCAAATATGTTTTTTTTTTTGTTTCTTTGTTACTTATACGACAAAAAGTTGTCTCTAGCATAAACTTAGAATTTTTTTTTTTAGTTTTTTCATAAATGATAAATGCTATAAAGAAATGGAATTTTGTATTTGAAATTTTAATTACCAATTAAATCGATCATTGATCGATTAAGCTTCTCCGATTTTGACCGATTATCGATTGTGAAATTTTCCCGATCATTCAACACTAATGTCAAACCCTGCTGGCAGTTGAGTTCCTCAGAATATCTTAGGGCTTTCTATATATATATATATATAGACCACATATCTTCCTGCCCCCCCCCCCCTTCCTAATTCAAATGAGCCTTTGAATCCATACACCACAGAAATGCTTCAAGATGGCAGGGTTGAGGATTAAGTTCATCATATAAATGATATAATGAAATAACATCTTTAAAAATTATTCTTAGCTCCTGGACATTTAGCAGGAAAACTGTTTGGATGATAATAAAAAACAGTTACCCTTTTTTCCACATCAGTTAAATTGATTCATGTTTTAAGCCAGATGCTATATGGCATTCACAATTTTGAAAGAGGCACCATTGATCATCATTAAAAAATACACTACATCAGCTTGGTTTATTGATTTTCTGCCCAATAATAAGTTCATAATGAACATTTCATGAATAAAATTCATGAGGAAATAAATGAATTATTCATGATCACCCCCTGAATACCCATACCAAAGATAAATGCATTTATATTTGTAGTGCACTGTAAATCTAAAGTCCACACAACTTTTTAAGGCCTTTTTTCAGCACCATGTCCCTTTCCCCCATTGTCATACTTTTCCTAATTATAATCAACAGAGCCCCACCCCCCCCCCCCCCCATAAAATTCCACACACACACACAAACCAGAAGAATCACAATTTTTCATAACTATGCACTTAGTTAGTTTATTTAATCTTGCTCATCATAACAATATGCTTAATAGCAGTAAGACAATTAACATTAGTATATAGCTGCACTTTTTATTCAGTGCATGTTGATATTAAATGCAGGCAAAGGTGTGCTCTACATACTTGCCAACCTCCAGCATGTAAAAATCTGGTCATGACCAGATTTGGAAAGTAAAAAATCTGGCCATAACGCGTAACTATGCACTTAGTTAGTTTATTTAATATCCCACACACACGACATATTTACCATGATGAAATTTTATACAATTAATATATGTACTTATATATACACAGATACAAAGTATTTGTGTATTGAGAATTCTTTTATTGAAAAGGGATTTAATTTACTATGACAAAAAACTTTAAACATAATTTGCTTTAATTTACATATTAAAAATGAAAATTGAAGGTTTCATATTTCAGTATTGACCTGTAGTAAATGTGCATTTAAAAAAAAAAAGAAAAGCCTTTTCAGTTTCTGCTAAATTTGAAAGCATAGGTTCAATTTTGAAGTTATTTTTCCTCTCTCTTAATAAATTAACTACTGCAACATCTTTTTATTAAATTTGAAGTTAGGCCTACACTGTCTTTGATGCACTTAGTTATTTTATTTAATACCTGCAGCAAAGAAGAAGATTTTGAAAGAATTTTTTATTTCCCAAGATTCATTGATATGTTCATAAATATCGTTTCAAAAAATTCACAATTTTACAAGCACTTGGTTCAATCAGAGACATGTGTTTGTTAATTTCAATTTGTTCCTGTTGGCCCTGATAACGAAGAAGATTTTCTATCGGAAGCCATTTTAATTGACTTCAAACATTGATTTGTCAAAACAACACCCAGTTAATTGTTTACACCTGCACAGATAATTAATCCATCGGCATTGTTTACGTAGATCTAAGCTTGGGTTGTAACCAGGAAGTTAAAGTGCAAAGAAATCCTGAAGTTGTTAACAGAAACCCAAATCCGGAAATTTTGGAAATTATTAGAAGATTCATTACTTAGTTGGTTTATTCATATACCCAGGGCAAGAATCGGGTGATATGCATTTATATATACCCGCCGGGTCATGAATTAAAATAATCGGGTTACGGGTTGAAAAATCGGGTGTGACCCGACGAAATCGGGTGAGTTGGCAACTATGGTGCTCTACTCTTCAACAGTTTTGTTCTGATTTAGACATTATTAGTTTAGTGATTTCTTCAAACATGTTTACAAAAAGAGAAAAATCAAAGTGTACCAAATGACACTTGGATGCTTGTTACCATTCAATATGCTCAATCAGAAAAGCTTACTGGAGTCTGTGTCATTGCTTATATTTAACAAAAGAAAATCAATTGATGAACACTAAACTATACATACTTACCATATTTGAGGTCACAAATTTGGTTGTCTGCATCTCTATATTACCGAAAAATTTTTGGGTTTTTGGTTTAAGACTGGTTTAAAACAAGTGGGAGAAAAAGATATAATTCATTTTTGTTGCTGTTTAGGCAAATGAGTGAAACCATCCAGGAAAGTACAAAGATAAATTACGGAGGAAATTGGCTTGTAGGGGTTTAATGAATTCAAATAAAAAACATTTGGCGTGAAGATGGGATTAGTTTGAACAGAGAGGCAATGGAAATTTTTAGTCGACAGATTCAACTGGCAATGAAATGTAAAATTACATAAAATACCTATGCTAGGAGATGATAAAAGATTTTCATGAGATTTTTTTAGTTAAAATTTCAAAAATCCGTTATATTTTATCATACCGATTTAGGCGGGAGTCTACCGCTTTTTCATTCCATCTCCCGCCTACCGATTTAATGCAGAAATCTACCGCTTTTCTTCAAAAGCTTCGTCTAAAGTATTTTTGGTTCGCTTGGGTATCCATTTTTGAAGCCACTCTTATAAAATCTCGCTAGATATCGCGTGATTAGACTCGGAATCATACAAACGCTTTTTTTGTAAAAAGAGCACGGATTTGACAATGACAACAACACAAGAGACCAGTGATTACATTGTTAGATAAATTTCAACATCCCTGCCATGAATCAGTAATATTAGAATTAGATGAAAACATTTGACATCCTCTTTGCAGAAACTCACAACTTTATCAATATCAATTTTTGACCAAGCCATGTTAATCCTCATCGGGAAAGATTTATATAACGAAAGATAGGAACTTGTTTTAGATCTAGATTAAAATTTTATCATTTGTTTTGTTTAAAAACTGAATGAATATTTTGAATTAAATTCTATAAATCAGCTTCTTCACAAGGCTTCCAAGCAAAATGAGGTGAAAAATATTTGAATTTGTCAATTCATCAAACTTAAAGTCTTTTCAAATTTTTGTAGGTCATTTCATTTAAGGCTTATAATAAACATGTATATTACATGAACGATATGGTATAATTAAATAACAGCAATGCTACCGTTTCAATTTTCACAATAGGTTAACATGTATGATTTTATTTTGTGGTGTAGTTTTTTTTTTACTTTACTTTTTTTTAAAAATTATTTTAAACAACATATGTACAAAAAAATATTTAAAACATCTTAATTTTATTTCTAAGAAAAGAACATAAAAAAGTTGTTGAAATAAAATATCTATATATTTGAAAATTGATATATTCTTTTAATTTACTATTTCTTTCCAGGTTTCAGTAATGAGTATTTTCATATTTTGACATTGATTTACTTTTTGTTCTCTTTTAACATATAAGTAATTATTTTCATTTTTAAAATTTAATTATTATTATTAGCTTTCAACTTTGAATTTCAATTTTTATATTTCTAAATTCATAATTTGTCTAAAATCTCAAAAATAAATTCAGTATTTTCATATTTTGAAATTTATTTATTTTTTTGTTCTCTTTGAAACATATAAGTTTAATTAATTAATTTCTATTTTTTATTATTATTGTTGCTTTGAAGCTTTTGGATATAATCAATCTCTAAATTCTAAATTTCTCTAAAATCTCAAAAATAAAAAAAAATCTTAAATTATCTTAATGGCTAACGTTCTTAATTTAAAAAAAAATATTTATTACATAATATTTGATATATATCTTGCATAACAAACATATTAAAATTAAAATGAATAATTTTAACTTTATCTATAGGATTTTATAATTTTTACATTTTGTGGGATGTATTGTATATTAAATAGGGTCTTTCACCTTAAAACTATTTGGTATGAGATATGTAATATGCATGCAATCTTTGTGGATTAGGCAACCGTTCAGTCTGATCATCAGAAGATCCCAGGGGTTCTGGGTTCGAATCCATTAGGATACAGACACAACTGACTCTAGCTCTTACCTTTACTGACAAATGTAATGCATGTATGATGAATAAATACACGTCTCTTTTACAGACATATAAATTTTGTACTCTCCCACAACTACGGAAATTCTTACTAATATAGTACACTACCTTCACAGTTCTCCTTTGTGACAGGTTTCTTTGCTGAGCATACAACAGTCACATAAAATATACACAGCAAAACTGGAAACGATTTCAAATACATTGTAAGTAAATTTCCAGTGTTCGTTGATTGTTTGTCCGTCTCTGGTAACAAGATAAAGCAACGGAGAGAAATAAAACTAGAACACAAGGCTGTCTGCTTGTGAAATGTTTACCGGCAAAACAAACGTGGATCAGGAATCACATGTACATTTGTCAGTTTGTGATTGGTCAGGGATGATGCAACTATTTGCAGCAATAAATGTATTTACATCGAAAATGTGTAGAAAACCACTGTAGTCGTGGAATTTATGCAAAAGGTGCAGAGAAGTCTGTTTTATGATAGTAGCGATAAAAAATAATTATGTTAAGGTTATGTTGAGTAACTTAATGACCATGATAAAAGAGATATAGTCAAAAGCTGAAATATTTTTTTTCAGGATTAAATAGATAAATATATAGAAATAATTAGCATCCAAATATCAGTGGGTGCATTTTTTAAAAGAAAAAAAATAATATTATTAAAAATTTAATACCATGAAACTCAAAACAAAATTACTAAATAAATCAAAAGAGTATTCGTATTTCTGAGGGCCACTCCTTCCATAAATAGACCTTTATGTTTTTAAATCTCGCGTGATTAAATATGGCTGCCTTTGGAGTGCATTTTGGCACGACTTCGGCATGTCTTGCTGTTTACAAGGTACAGTTCAATAGTTAGTGTATATTATAGAGATATAAAATACCAAATTGATATTTATGCTTAAATAAGTTTGTTTTTAAATGTTGAAACGAAAGATACTTCATAAAATAATGGTTTATCACAATTAGTAACTGAGGAAATTCGGAATCAATGAAACAGGTGAATCATAAACATATTACATACTTTATATTGTGCTTCGTAGGACGGAAAAACAGATGTGGTGGCCAATGATCTTGGTGACCGGACAACACCGTGTATAGTAGCTTATACAGATCTTGACCAGGTAATATTTAGATGAACATTTTATCTGATAAAATGAAGTGTTTGCCAAAATAATTCATTTCTGAGAGTTTAATTGAAGGAACCAAACCGTAATATGTAGAGATAATTTGTTATAACGATGATTTAAGTTTCCCTTTCTCTTATAAACTTGGCATTTTAACTGCCAACTTTCTTAGGTTTCTATTGATGGACTTTTGCGAGGAGTGCTGATCTTTACAATTGATAGCTTAATTACTTTTACACCAGAATAATGTACGGAAGCTCTTTATAGTATAAATATGTAGCTTAACATTTATTTAAATGGAAAAAAACTTGTTATTTAAAAGCACAAATTAGTTGTCCTTAAAGTAAAATGAGAACTAACATACCCACAATGCCCGGCCTTCACAATCAAAAATACCACTAACAACATTAGGGTCACTACCTCTGACCACTATAAAGGTTATCTTGTCTGTAATCAATTCTCTACCTTCATACATGTCAAATGTCAAAGTAACCATCAACTGTAAAAGTCGGTGCTTCAATATTCTTCTAAGTGCTGTACAGATATGTTCATAGTCATACTATAGCCAGGCATATTTTCTGCATTGAAATACATTCAGAGATACATAGGTATACATTGACTCTAGTGTCACATGGCATAGTGTGTAAGTTGCATCACAAAACAGTGTTTTTATTTTAATATAAAGATCTCAAAACAGTTGGAACAGTATTTTTTTAGCTCACCTGAGCTGAAAGCTCAAGTGAGCTTTTCTGATCACCCGGTGTCCGTCGTCCGTCCGTCCGTCCGTCCGTTCTCACGAAATAATGGTTAAGTGACAGTTTTTGTGCCCATTTAAGATTTATGTGACTCTTTTGTTTTATGTGACTGTCACATACAAATTTGATTTTTTTTAGCAGAAATGAGTGTTATGTGACTTAAAAATCACTCTAAAGAAGTGTCACATAAAAAAATACGGACAATATTGTCCGTATATGGACGTCCGTCAAAAGGTTTTGAGATTTACCTCCCTTACCCCATGTATCATGTTTTGCGCCACATAATTTTTTTGGAAAAAGTCACATAAATTTGGAAAAAGTCACATAAATTTGTCAATCACATAACCTGCATTTCGTGGGTCCGTCCGTCTGTCTGTCCGTCCGTCCGTCTGTAAACTTTTCACATTTTCAACTTCTTCTCAAGAACCACTGGGCCAATTTTAACCAGACTTGGTACAAAGCATCCTTGGGTGAAGGGGAATTTAAATTGTAAAAATCAAGGGCCAAGACCCCTTCCAAGGGGAGATAATCAAGAAAATACGAAAATAGGGTGGGGTCATTAAAAAATCTTCTTCTGAAGAACCACTGGGCCAGAAAAGCTGAAATTTATGTGGACACATTCTGGGGTAGTGTAGATATTAAATTGTAAAAATCATGACCCCCGGGGGTAGGGCGGGGCCACAATAGGGAATCCAAGTTTTACATAGAAATATATAGAACAAATCTTTAAAAATCTTCTTCTCAAGAACCACTGGGCCAGGAGAGCTGAAACTTGTGTGGGAGCATCCTTGGGTAGTGTAGTAATTAAATTGTAAAAATCATGACCCCCGAGGGTAGGGCGGGGCCACAATAGGGAATCCAAGTTTTACATAGAAAAATATAGAACAAATCTTTAAAAATCTTCTTCTCAAGAACCACTGGGCCAGGAGAGCTGAAACTTATGTGGAAGCATCCTTGGGTAGTGTAGATATTAAATTGTTAAAATCATGACCCCCAGGGGTAGGGAGGGGCCACAATAGGGAATCCAAGTTTTACATAGAAATATATAGAACAAATCTTTAAAAATCTTCTTCTCAAGAACCACTGGGCCAGGAGAGCTGAAACATATGTGGGAGCATCCTTTGGTAGTGTAAATATTAAATTGTTAAAATCATGACCCCCGGGGGTAGGGCTGGGCCACAATAGGGTTTTACATAAAAATATATAGAACAAATCTTTAAAAAAGATCTGCATCACCCAAGTTATTCAGGTGAGCGATGTGGCCCATGGGCCTCTTGTTTTTCAAAAAAGAGTGTTTTATTTACTATTTATCAACTTTCATTGTTAATACCATGAGAATGTAGTTTGCAGTGAAATACAATATATTAACAAAGGATTGTGGGTTTGAGGTTACTGAGAGAAAAAAAAACAAACTATTAGTGCAATGTGCAAAGTCACACTTATATTATGACTGCACACTGCTTTATGAATAGTTCTGCAGACCGTGTTTGCACAACTTTGAAGTTTAAGCAATATATCAACATGTTCTTAAAGAAGTCAAATCTATTGACCCACATTGTTTAAAGATAATCCAAAAATCAAACATCTATGATTAATTTGACATAATTTCATAAATTGATGAGGACTTGCATGTTTTGTTCATTTATCAAAAATGCAATTAAGGAGGATCTCTACACCTATGAAGTATAACTGATTTTTGTTGCATGCATTTGTTTCTAATAACAGGCTCAACATCCATTAAAATAAGGTTCCAAGGTATTTCAATTTATTTTTTTAGAGATATTTAAAATAGTTTATTTATTTTGTTAAAACCCCTCCTTTCTACATTTTTAAAAGCCCAGTTCGTTAAATTTCTCTTCAAAGTTTAATGTTATAAAATATTGAAATAATAATCAACAAAGTTAAAGATAAAATCAGCATAATTTTTATTTAAATTTACAAAAATTGACAAAAGAAAACCTAAAACAGCATTTTCTTGAGAATAGCTGGTTGGATCTCCTCCAATATCTGAAAAGATATATAATATCAAAGGGTTATAAAAACAATGGAAAAAAGAAATTGAACAAAATTGAAAAACTGTGAAAAATTTCAAACATCACAAAAATTCAGGTGTGAAAGATCCGCTTCAAGAGTGGGCTAAACTATCTTGGTACTGTTTTTGTATAAACTTCAAATAAACTCTGCACAAGTATTGAAAAAATGTCAAGCAAGGACATTGAAAGAAGTTCGAATTCGTATTGTACATGTATTATTTTTCAAATGAGTTTAAGCGAAAACCATCACGTTTCCAGTCAATGACAAAGACATGTATTTAGGGAATTCAGTGTATTGAGAAAGGTAGATTTACTTACCGTTTTTATCCAACCTGCATGTGTTATCCAGTACTAGATATAACAAAACATGTAAACATGGTAAATGACCAAAAGCGGGTAAAAAAAAATTCCTATAACTAAATTCACACTTCCTCTAAAACCTGCACGTTTCCCATACAAACAGCTAATAATCAATGTTGATCAAACGTTTGGGTCATGCAAAATTCCACTTACTGTCGAAACGTTTTGGTGATTTCATGAAGAGTTTAAATTTCACGGGGTATAACCATTCATTCGGGTGTATACAAATCGTAAACAGAGTATCCTCTAGTCAAAGGGGAGATAATACATATGCCTTATATTATCAAATTTGCATTTTTGGGGGACATATTTTGCTGGAAAGCATATACATGTATGTTTATTGAAGAAAAAAGAAATTTCAGAGTGTATGGCTTTTTGACATGTAATGATGAATTAGCATATGGACAAACATGATGGACAAGCCATGTTTTTATATCTTTTTTTCTCACCTAAAAATCTTATATAAGTTTGTAAGTATATTATTTAATAATTAAATAAGTAGAAATTGAATAAATTGACAAACAATTCATTTTTAAAGAAAGGATATGTATTAAGCAATAAATTGTATTAATTGAGTTGATACAATGTACATTCCAGCCACAATATCACATGTTGTGTTATACTCAGTGATTTATTGGTGTTAAGTGAATTTGAATCAGATCATTTGGGACCAAAGTTGCGTTTCAACTGAAGTACGCCATGTTGTGACGTAGAGAGCCCCCTTAAGAATCAGGATATTGAAAATGATAAGTGGTGCGTAAAGAATTAATCCCTAAAATTTGATGCCTATAAGAAAAAACATTTTAGCTTCATAAAACTTTTATACAGAGATTACAGTCTTATAACTAGATATATGCAGTTTCAAAGAAAAAATGAACAGCAGACATCCTTGGAAACCACACACACACACACACACACCCTCTCACACACACACCCTTACACAATCTCTACAGGCCCAGTCTCCATTCCAGCACCAGCAGATACTTATCCATTAGTTTTTAAACACCCTCAGTTTGTTTTATCATTCAGGCTGTTGGAGTTGCAGCAAAGCAAGGGAGTATAAGGAACACACAGAATACCATTAGTTTTGTCAAGTGTGTATTGGGAAGATCATGGGACGATCCAGTCACCCAGGATTATGTCCAGAAATCACCTGTGAAGGTAGATCAAGAGAAAGTCTCCTGTACTCTCATTAGTAACTCTCTTTATTTGAATTGGTCCACAAGCTGTCAAATTTAATTAGTTTCACTCAAGAAGGGGTATTAGTTTTTGTCCTCTGTTTTTACCAAAATATGTGAATAATAATTTGGGTCTGTCTGACAACATCTTGTGAGGCCTTTGAGCTTTTGCAGTGAAATGTTATATCACAACTCTCTATGACCTAGAGATGACCCCTGTCAATTTTGAGATTAAAAGATCGGAGTTCCAGGTCATAAATTCATACAATTTCTCTGTGTGTAATACTTATTTTCCAAACTACATGTGTATCCTAAAAATGCCTGGAGACTTTGCAATGAAATATTTTATCGCAACTCCCTATGGCCTTAAAACCCCAAAGTCAAGTTCAGAAATGTATAATGCATGTATTGTTTTCACATAATACTTTTAATTTCTGCAAGTTTTTGAAATGTTATAACTCTAAGCTTGGATACAAATTTTCTGAATTACTCAATAGCTTGCGTTCTTTTAGATTGAGAATAAGAATGGACAGCTGGTCTACCTGGTCAATTTCAAAGGAGAAATGATTAATGCAACACCAGTGGATGTGGCAACAGCTATTTACAAACAAATGAAAGGTAATATAGTGAGCTGTTTCTCTGCAACATGCATGTATTAATCAGGGTCCACAATAATGCAATATAAACCATTAAATATTTTTAAAATTGTAATTAAGTATTTTTTAAACACTTTATAGCTCACCTGAGCTGAAAGCTCAAGTGAGCTTTTCTAATCACATTTTGTCTGTAGTCCGTCTGTCCGTCCGTCTGACTGTCTGTAAACTTTTCACATTTTCACACTGGGCCAGAAAAAATGAAACTCATGTGGAATCATCCTCAGGTAGTGTATATTCAAGTTTGTTCAAATCATGAACCCTGAGGATAAGGTGGGGCCAAAATGGCTAGTGGAAGTTTAACATAGGAGTATATAGGAGAAATCTTTTTAAAATTTTCTCAAGATCAGCAAAGCTATGATTGGTGATATTAATATGGAAACATCCTCAGTTGGAGTTAATTCAAGTTTGTTCATATCACGACCCAAGGGAGTAAGGCGGGGGCCATGATTGGCATTCAAATCTTTACATAGAAATATATAGGGAAAATCTTTATAACTTTTCTTCTCTAGTATGGCAAAATTATACCTGTATGCTTTATTGATATAGTGACATTCTCTTTTCAATACTGAGCCAATTTGTGTTTTTAGGTCACCTTAGTTACTCAGGTGACCTATTGCTATCTGTTTTTGTCCGTCGTGCGTCGTGTGTCAAAATTTGAACATTTTCAGCTTCTTCTCTGAAACCACTGAACCAATTTCAACCAAATTTGGTATACAGCTTCTATGGGTGAAGGGGAACAAAAATTGTGAATTTCATGGTCCCCGCCCCCCTGTGGCCTGAGAGGTGGGGCCAAAACCACTAAAATTATTGCAATCTTTAAAAATCTTCTTCTTTACTCAAGGACATCAAGCAGGCAAACTGTTGGCATGAATGTAATAAGCATTGAGTCCTCTACCAAAATTGTGAAATTCATGGCCCCAGGGTCAGGGGTTCTAGTGCTAGGGCGGGGCTATATAGATTATATAGTGAAAATGTATTATTTCTTTGAAAATCTTCTTCTCTGCTCCTGGGTATTAAATAAACTAAGTACATAGTTATGATGAGCAAGAGTGCCTCTTCCAGATTTGTGAATTTTATGGCCCCAGAGTCAGGGGTTCTGGTGTTAGGGCAGGGCTCTATAGATTATATAGTTAAAATGCGTTTATTCTTTGAAAATCTTCTTCTCTGCTTCTGGGTATTAGGATAAATTAACTAAGCACATAGTAAATTAACTAAGCACATAGTTATGATGAGCAAGAGTGCCACTTCCAAAATTGTGAATTTTATGGCCCCAGGGTCAGGGGTTCTGGTGTTAGGGTGGGGCTCTATTGATTATATAGCATCTTCGCTAGCCAAGGGTTTCTGATACGCTACTCTCCTCATAAACCCTTGGCCTACGGTGTTCATAGAAATGGGGATTTTTTTCCAGAGTTCTGATTGGATTTTAGTACACCCAGGTCGACCAATCAGCAATTGTTTTTTGTAAATGACGATATTTGCGTTCGGGATACATCTTCACTCTTTATTCTCGGAAATGAAAAACGCAAGTAAACAACGATCCGTAAGCATGGTAAGATAACATTCAAATCTATGAATAGCCATGGTGTCATCCAATATCTTCTAAATAATCTATATTGAAGCTTCAGATTTGTTCTATAAATAATGAATAAACATAACTCAATTATTGCTTCTTAATTATTCTTGAAAAAACTTTGATTTAATGTTTTTTTAACACGTGTCTTTATTTGTGGCGATGACGCAATCTGTGCGTACCTAATAGATTCGAGATCACGTGACGGAAAACAATCCCGTCTTTTGACTTCACCGTATGCCAAGGGTTTATGAGGAGAGTAGCGTATCAGAAACCCTTGGCTAGCGAAGATGATTATATAGTGAAAATGCATTTATTCTTTGAAAATATTTTCCTTTGCTTCTGGGTTTTATGCCAATGATCCAAGTATATATATTTATAATGAACATGAAGAAAGGTGCAATTAGCATCTAGTGTTTTATTATGCTCCCTGGGTCGGGGGGGGGGGGGGGGGGGGGGGGGGGTTACATAGTCTGAAAATAAATTAATGCTTTGAAATCTGCTCTTTGGTATTAATCAACCATTTTATGATAAAATTTGCAAAATTTTGAAATTTGTGGACCCTGGGTCAGTGGTTCCTTTGGGGAGTGGTGCACAACTGGGTATAAAGTGGAAGTGCAGTTTCTCTTTGTTACTCTGATCTACCTCTGGGTATTAAGTAAATAGAGTAAGCATGCTAAGTTAATAATTATGATAAGCAATGGTGCCTCTTTCAAAATTGTGAATTGTGAATTTCATGGCTCTGGTTTAAAACACGAACCAAATTTAATTGTTTGAAAGTTGTTACACTATACTCAGGTGACCTATAAGGCCTGTGGGCCTCTTGTTTAACTATCCCATGTGCTCAAGTGAGCGATGTGGCCCATATGCCTCTTATTAATCAAATCCAATGTCAACTTTCTGTTTATCCTTCGGTTTGTATGTTTCATATATAACAAATTTCGTGACAGTTTTCTCAGCAACTACTCATTGCAGATGCTTGAAATTTTAACACAATCTTTTCTGAGGCATGCCATATTGTGGGAAATATTTTTATTTAAATCCACTGTCAACTTGCTGTTTATCCATGCATCTGTCTGTTTCATGCATTACAAATTTTTGTCACAGTTTTCTCAGCAACTACTCATTGCAGATGATTGAAATTTTAATACAACCTCTGAGGCATGCCATATGGTGGGATTCATTTTTGTTCACTTTTGATGTCAACTTCCTGTAAATTCCCATACTAACAACCAAACAAAGCATTTTATTGTTCAAGTAAAATATGTCACTTTGAACAGATAAGTTTTTAAGGACTAGGAATTGAAGTTAATTAGCTTAAGAATTATAAAGCTCACAAATGAAATGTGACACATTGTCTTTTGTTTACAGAGACTGCCAGTAGTCATGGCGATGGGGATATACACGACTCAGTTCTGGCTGTGCCTTCACAGTTTTCTGTAGAGCAAAGGAAAGCGTTTGGGTAAGGTTGAATGTCACATAGTTTACATTATGTTTTAGAATCGCAAAAGATAAAGATTCCATCCTGAAAAATGTATATTTTTTTTCCAAGATTTTGTCATTGAAGTAATGCTTCTTTTACAAATTAACTCTCAAAAATTGAGGTACCTCAGCAGGCATTTTTGCAAGATACAAGAGAATAGTGTTGCCTACTCTAGATTCCTAAATATACGCGTGGAATTAATTATCGCTTAATTTCGCGAGAAGCATCACACACGATATCAAAATACTCGCCTTTATTTTTATGGTGCTGAAATCCATGTAAAATCTCTTTATCAATCCTCCATTCGTGAATCATTATTCTCGCGATTTGCCGTTGAAGAGCCCATTCGCAATAATAAGTACTCGCGAAAAATTAGGAATTTACAGTATATAATCCTTTTGGAAATAACATAAATTGCCAGATCAAAAATTTGAGAATTGTAAATTTTTAAGGTCAATTAGAAATCAGTTTAGAAATCACAACATAATTAAAATGTAAAGTATTTTTTCTACATTACAAAAGATATACAAAACAGTTGTCTGAAGAACGTATCATCTGACCTTAAACTTTAATTAGTGTTGGGATACATTTTATTTTCTTAACCTTATTTTAAACTTTATATAGTAATACTGGGTGTCCTTAATAATTACTAGGTAGATGATTGTATCTTGTTAAACATTCCTTTTGAAAAACTTGTCATCAAGTGGTGCCATTGCTATTAGGGATGAAGTTCCTGCCACAAGGGGATGCTCTGCATAGTGGTGCGTTTGTTAAATCAGTGATTGGTTTTTATGTAGCTTTGTTTGTTTTACAGGGAGTGTGCTTCTCAGGCAGGATTCAGTGTATTACGGACAATCAATGAGCCAGTGGCAGCCTTGTTGGCATATGACTTAGGGCAAATAGACAACACACTACACTGGTTTGTATATTGTTACTTTTTAGCTCTACTGGTCAGAGACCAGAAGAGCTTATGCGATAGTAATGCGTCCGGCGTCCGGCCGTCTGTCTAGCTGTCTGTCTGTCTGTAAACAATTTTTCAAAATGCTACTCCTCCTACAGTTTTGGCCAGATTTCAATATAACTTGGCACACAAGTAGACTACACTAAGATACATAATTCTATTTATCGGTTTTTGATTTCGATAAACGGTGTTGCCGTGGTTACTAAAAATATAAATTTCTGTGAAATTTTTTCAAAATGCTACTCCTCCTACAGTTTTGGTCTGATTTCAATATAACTTGGCACACAAGTAGACTATACTTAGATACATAATTCTGTATATTGGTTTTTGATTTCGATGAACGGTGTTGCCCTGATTACTAAAAATAGAAATTTCTGTGAAATTCTTTCAAAATGCTACTCCTCCTACAGTTTTGGTCTGATTTCAATATAACGTGGCACACAAGTAGACTATACTTAGATACATAATTCTGTGTATTGGTTTTTGATTTCGATGAACGGTGTTGCCCTGATTACTAAAAATAGAAATTTCTGTGAAATTCTTTCAAAATGCTACTCCTCCTACAGTTTTGGTCCGATTTCATTTTAACTTGGCACACAAGTAGACTATACTAAGATACATAATTCTGTATATTGGTTTTTGATTTCGATGAACGGTGTTGCCCTGATTACTAAAAATAGAAATTTCTGTGAAATTCTTTCAAAATGCTACTCCTCCTACAGTTTTGGTCTGATTTCAATATAACTTGGCACACAAGTAGACTACACTAAGATACATAATTCTGTAAATTGGTTTTTGATTTCGATGAACGGTGTTGCCCTGATTACTAAAAATAGAAATTTCTGTGAAATTCTTTCAAAATGCTACTCCTCCTACAGTTTTGGTCTGATTTCAATATAACTTGGCACACAAGTAGACTACACTAAGATACATAATTCTATTTATCGATTTTTGATTTCGATGAACGGCGTTGCCTTGGTTACTAAAAATAGAAATTTCTGTGAAATTCTTTCAAAATGCTACTCCTCCTACAGTTTTGGTCTGCTACCCCACTGATCATAATTTAAACAATTTGAAATCTACACTACCCCAGTATGCTTCCACACAAGTTTCAGCTTTTCTGGCCCAGTGGTTCTTGAGAAGATTTTTCAAAGATTTTTTCTATATATTTCTATGTAAAACATTGATTCCCCCTTGTGGCCCTGCCCAACCCCCGGGGGTCATGATTTGAACAATTTAGAATCTACACTACCCCAGAATGCTTCCACATAAGTTTCAGCTTTTCTGGCCCAGTGGTTCTTAAAAAGAAGATTGTCAAAAATTTTTCCTATATATTTCTATGTAAAACATTGATTTCCCATCGTGGCCCCGCCTTAACCCCGGGGGTCATGATTTGAACAATTTAGAATCTACACTACCCCAGTATGCTTCCACATAAGTTTCAGCTTTTCTGGCCTAGTGGTTCTTGAGAAGATGATTTTCAAAGATTTTTCCTTTATTTTTCTATGTAAAACTTTGATTCCCCAATGTGGCCCCGCCCAACCCCCGGGGGTCATGATTTGAACAATTAGAATCTACACTACCCTAGAATGCTTCCACATAAGTTTCAGCTTTTCTGTCCCAGTGGTTCTTGAGAAGAAGATTTTCAAAGATTTTTCCTATATTTCTATGTAAAACTTTGATTCCCCAGTGTGGCCCCGCCCAACCCCCGTGGGTCATGATTGGAACAATTTAGAATCTACACTACCCCAGAATGCTTCCACATAAGTTTCATCTTTTCTGGCCCGGTGGTTCTTATGAAGAAGATTTTCAAAAATTTTTCCTATATATTTCTATGTAAAACTTTGATTCCCCAATGTGGCCCTGCCCAACCCCCGGGGGTCATGATTTGAACAATTTAGAATCTACACTACCCTAGAATGCTTCCACATAAGTTTCAGCTTTTCTGGCCCAGTGGTTCTTGAGAAGAAGATTTTCAAAGATTTTTCCTATTTATTTCTATGTAAAACATTGATTCCCCAACATGGCCCCGCCTTACTCCCGGGGGTCATGATTTGAACAATTTAGAATCTACACTACCCCAGGATGCTTCCACATAAGTTTCAGCTTATCTGACTCAGTGGTTCTTAAAAAGAAGATTTTCAAAGATTTTTCCTATATATTTCTATGTAAAACTTTGATTCCCCAATGTGGCCCCGCCCAACCCCCGGGGGTCATGAATTGAACAATTTAGAATCTACACTACCCTAGAATGCTTCCACATAAGTTTTAGCTTTTCTGGCCCAGTGGTTCTTGAGAAGATTTTCAAAGATTTTTCCTATATATTTCTATGTAAAACATTGATTCCCCATTGTGGCCCCGCCCCACCCCCGGGGGTCATGATTTGAACAATTTAGAATCTACACTACCCCAGGATACTTCCACATAAGTTTCAGCTTATCTGACTCAGTGGTTCTTAAAAAGAAGATTTTCAAAAATTTTTCCTATATATTTCTATGTAAAACTTTGATTCCCCAATGTGGCCCCGCCTAACCCCCAGGGGTCATGATTTGAACAATTTAGAATCTACACTACCCTAGAATGCTTCCACATAAGTTTCAGCTTTTCTGGCCCAGTGGTTCTTGAGAAGATTTTCAAAGATTTTTCCAATATATTTCTATGTAAAACTTTGATTCCTAATTGTGGCCCCGCCCAATTCCCGGGGGTCATGATTTGTACAATTAAGAATCTACACTACCCCAGGATACTTCCACATAAGTTTCAGCTTTTCTGGCCCAGTGGTTCTTGAGAAGAAGATTTTCAAAGATTTTTCCTATATATTTCTATGTAAAACTTTGATTCCCCAATGTGGCCCCGCCCAACCCCTGGGGGTCATGAATTGAACAATTTAGAATCTACACTACCCTAGAATGCTTCCACATAAGTTTCAGCTTTTCTGGCCCAGTGGTTCTTGAGAAGATTTTCAAAGATTTTTCCAATATATTTCTATGTAAAACTTTGATTCCCCATTGTGGCCCCGCCCTACCCCCGGGGGTCGTGATTTGAACAATTTAGAATCTACCCTACCCCAGGATGCTTCCACATGATTTTCAGCTTTTCTGGCCCAGTGGTTCTTGAGAAGAAGATTTTCAAAGATTTTTCCTATATATTTCTATGTAAAGCTTTCAGCTCAGGTGAGCTTTTCTGATCACATTTTGTCCGTTGTCCGTCTGTCTGTCTGTCTGTCTGTCAACTTTTCACATTTTTGACTTCTTCTCAAGAACAGCTGGGCCAATTTCAACCAAACTTGCCACAAAGCATCCTTGGGTGAAGGGAATTCAAGTTTGTTCAAATGAAGGGCCACGCCCTCATTCAAGGGGAGATAATTGGGAATTAATGAAAATGTGGTGGTATGTTTTAAAAATCTTCTTCTCAAGAACCACTGAGCCAGAAAAGCTGAAACTTATGTGGAAGCATCCAGGGGTAGTGTAGATTCTAAATTGTTCAAATCATGACCCCTGGGGGTTGGGCGGGGCCACAATGGGGACATCAAAGTTTTACATAGAAATATATCAAAAAATCTTTGAAAATCTTCTTCTCAAGAACCACTGGGCCAGAAAAGCTGAAACTTATGTGGAAGCATACTGGGGTAGTGTAGATTTCAAATTGTTTAAATTATGATCATTGGGGTAGGTGGGGTCACAATATGTATTACAAGGGGGAAATCTGGTAAAGAACGGAATGGCCAAAGTTTCTCAGGTAAGCGTTGTGGCCCATGGGCCTCTTGTTTTCCTAGCCACAGTGCTCAGGTGAGCCCATGGGCCTCTTGTTTTCCTAGCCACAGTGCTCAGGTGAGCCCATGGGCCTCTCGTTATATTTCCCTCTTGTCACAGTTGTAATTATTTCTTTTGTATTGGTTATAGTAATGTATTAGTGTATCGCCTTGGGGGCGACTCCACAGATGTCTCAGTAGTCCGCCTTCACGCGGGACTCTACCGGATTCTAGCGAGCACCAGCACTCAACATGTCGCAGGAAGCAAGTTCACCAATGTGCTAGCAGATTTTTTGGCTCAGGAATTTTACAAGTACGTATTTATTTATAACTGTATGACAGTTTCTTTACTTGGGAAAATGTGTTAGCTTTTTAAAATGAAATGTTTGATAGAGAATATGTTTGCTAATCTATTAGTCAATGTTAATGATGTACCTATATTTCTAAAACTTTCATACTGTGTAATTATATTTGTTAACTCAGATTGAAGAAAGGATTTTTTTCCTTCAGGAAGTATAAGTTGGATATCAAGGAAAGTCGAAGGTCTTTAAACAAACTAAGGATGGCCACAGAAATATGTAAACACACCCTGTCTACATTAGAGAATGCCCAGGTCTCTATAGATTCATTACATGAGGGAGTGGACTTTCACAGCAGTGTATCCAGGTATTACCTGAATGTCTCATTACTGGTACTATGTATTATATGTTATGTAAAAAAAAAACGTGTACTATTTTCTGATGTTAGATTTGTAAGAAGTCTCTTAAGGTATTTCACTTGTGAAATTTGTTGTATCAAGGATTTTTTAAGAATAATATTTTGGATAAGTACTCATATAATATGACTCAAAATCACAGAGAAATAAGGGGGTCAGTTTGCATCTTAATGAGCTAGAGTACAATTAAGTTGACCTTTCTGCACTTAAATTTTAACTCGGGTTAATCACTTTAACCTTTATATAATATTTTATCAGATGACAGTGAATATAAGTGAATATATGACAGTAACCGTGACAGTGAATATAATCTTTTTTTACGTAAAGTAGTTTGAATAATATTTATCATTGAACAAATCTTGCAAATAAATGCACATGAATTATTGTGTGACCGTTTTGCACTAAAGAAAAGTAACATATTTGGGGGTTGGAAAATCTAAATAGGCAATAATATAGGGTTATTGATCTTATATTGGTGAATAGTGGCACAAGTTGGCCGTACAAATGCATGAGCTTGCGAGTGCATTTGTACAGCCAACCAAAAACCCAAACTCCTTTATTACACAGCTAAAACATTTCCTCATAATTTATACTGAATTATTCCAACTTAGAAAATTGTAATTAATGATTTTTTAGTATTGGTATTCAAATTAACACCTGTCCTGTAAGTGTTCAATATCGCATCATTCCGATGACCCAACCAAGCGTTATGATTTCTTTATTTAGGTTTTAATGGGTCGAATACGTACTAAATTTTCAATAAATAATTTCATTTTTGTGTAAAAATAAACACATCTTACCTAGATGCCACTTCCTTTCTGTAATATAACTCTGAGAATTTGAACAGACAATTTTTAGCTCACATGAGCCGAAGGCTCAAGTGAGCTTTTCTGATCACATTTTGTCCGGCGTCCCTCTGTCTGTCTGTCCGTCTGTCTGTCCGTCTGTCTGTAAACTTTTCACATTTTCGACTTCTTCTCAAGAACCCCCGGGCCAATTTCAACCAAACTTGCCACAAAGCATCCTTGGGTGAAGGGGATTCAAGTTTGTTCAAATGAAGGGCCACACCCTCATTCAAGGGGAGATAATTGGGAATTAATGAAATTTGGTGGTATGTTTTAAAAATCTTCTTCTCAAGAACCACTGTGCCAGGAAATATGAAACTTATGGGGAAACATCCTCAGGTAGTGTAGATTCAAGTTTGTTCAAATCATGACCCCCGGGGGTAGGGCGGGGCCACAATGGCCGACCAAAGTTTTACATTGAAATATATAGGAAAATTCTTTAAAAATCTTCTTCTCAAGAATAGCCAAGCCATAATTGATCATATTTATATGGAAGCATCCTCAGGTAGTGTAGATTCAAGTTTGTTCAAATCATGACCCCCGGGGGTAGGCGGGGCCACAATGGCCGACCAAAGTTTTACATTGAAATATATAGGAAAATTCTTTAAAAATCTTCTACTCAAGAACAACCAAGCCATGATTGATCATATTTATATGGAAGCATCCTCAGGTAGTGTAGATTCAAGTTTGTTCAAATCATGACCCCAGGGGGTAGGGCGGGGCCACAATGGCCGACCAAAGGTGCTCAGGTGAGCGATGTGGCCCATGGGCCTCTTGTTTTTGTTTACAATGGAGAGTTCGATATTGAACGCTCATATTCAGAATGTTTCGGGCATACTCGAATACGTAATACAAACTCAGCGTTCAATAAAACGTCAAGATATCGTACTCCATTAAGAACCCTCTCTACACTGCACACTAGAGAGTTCTGATTCTATGGCATTTTTCTGCAATTAGAGTGATCTGCTCTTAGATTCAAATTCTAAAAAATAGAAATTTACTGTATATTACTCAATTTGTAATTATTTCAAGTATTCTTAACATTTTAAAAGGTCAGGATAAATTAATTTAACATGTTATTTACATGTACTTTCCCTATGGAAGTACACATCAGTGATTTATATTCACTGATACCGTGTTGTCTTTGGACATTTTTTCTGGGGGTAAATGCCACGCACCATACAGTGAAAATTAGATAGATAGGCTCAATATTGACTCCTTTATACAATATATTTTTCTCTGTGTCCAAAAAACATTTTGCACTTGTGTAGAGAGGGTCCTTGAAGGGAAAAAAAACCTAGAGGTACTGTGAGCAATGAGCTCACTAAATAATACCCCCGCCTCCCATATGAATATGATGGCAGTATCCATTTTTTGCTCTGGAAAATCCAAAATATATGTCAAAAAAGTAAAATAGGAGGTGCACAATGGCAGTGTGTAATAAAGATTCTCTGAAAGTTTCATTAAATTTCCTTCAGTGGTATGAAAGGAGTTGCGGATAAGAGATGGATACCCCAAAGCGTAACAGGCGGATGGACGAACATACCGATTACTATATACCCTCCCACTTTTCAAGCGGGGGTACAATGAATACAGTTTTAGAAAAATATGATTTTCTTGAACCGAGCCTTAGATACCAATACTTATTAGCATGATATGAAATTAAAAGTGATTTGTGATGTCTTGCAATGATAGCAAAAACCTTTTACACTATGTATTATATACCGGTAATACATGAAGGAAATAGAAGACATAGAATACCAAATAAGTATTAAAATCATGACAATTTCTCTGAATGTCTGAATACCTATTGTTTTTTCAACTAAAATATTTTTGTTGATAAATTTGCAATTAGAAAAATGCATAGCTTATATTCCTATTGGCTTTTTCTGAATATATATCGGAGATTTGACAATTTTCCCTATGTAAAATGATTAACTTTAATGTTTAAATTGGAAAGTTTAAATTTACATTACTTTGTGGATTCAGAGATACATGTATTTTAATGAGTATGTTTAATTACTTTTTTAAAACTGCTAATTTTATGAACCTGAGGATCGGAGTACCTTAAGTGCTGATCAATCACAAGTATCATATAGTTTACAATGTAGAATAATCATAGAAAAAGTTGGGGTCAGTGATGTAAATTTTAGATATTGGTCAAAATATGCGATTTTCAGGCAAAAAACGGTGTAAATCTTATCTTGACTTCATTGATATATCTTCTTTCTCGGCAAAGTTTGTTAAGGGAATGTGATAAATTTGTTCTAAAAATATAAATTGAGACCTATATTTGATAGCGAAGCGAGCTCAATAGACTAACGTGTAAGAACAGAGGAAATTCGGAATGAAATCTGTACATATGTCAGGCAAATTTTGTTGTGAAACATTCCCAGAATTCCTTTACTACCCAATGTCATTTGCGCGAATAAATGATTAAATAAATAAATAAAGATAATAAGGTAAAGCATAAAAGGCTTTCAGTTTGTAGTAATCTTTGAAATTCATAGAAACAAAAAATAACTCTGCAATGTTTTTCGACCGAAATTGCACTAGGTCTATAGTTTCAACCAAATGCTCGGCTGTCTCCGTAAGCTTCGACGAGCTCCATGACGTCGTGTGACTTCACAGCTAGTCGAGATATCTCGTGCGGCTTGATGTTTGAAGTGGCTGATCAATTTTTCAAGTGTTTTTGATGTTTCAACTGCGCTCGCCCCAACGGTCACACCGTAAAACATATTATTCTTAGCATTTCATAACAGAAAATATTCTCTCAGTAAAAGTATGTGATGCTCAAGTTCCAAGATATTAAATTTAATAAATGTGCAGATATGCAGAATTTTCTGCTAAATATCCTTCCACCACAAGAAATAGTCCCTCATAAATCTTGCATCTTTAAGAATTTTTTTAGTTTTTTATCAAATGTTGCTTAAATATAATTATCATTTTAGGTCACCTGAGTAAACTCAGATGGTGTCATTTCCTAAAGAAAAGTTGCAACAATAGAAATTTACATTTTTGCCAACTATTATGTGAACTTATAATGTAATATTCAAAATTTAATTCAAATCATTAATTTTCAGTACATTATAATGATATATTCATTTTGAGTCCTTTTGGGTCCTTTTGGGTGGGTTCTTTTGGGTAAATTGACGCACCCCATTTTCAGCTTCTTCTCTGCAACCGCTCAACCAATTTCAACTAATTTTGGCGTAAAGCATCTATGGGTGAAGGGAAACAAAAATTGTGAATTTCATGGTCCCTGCCCCCCTGGGGCCTGAGGGGTGGGGCCAAAACCTCTAAAATTAGTGCAATCTTTAAAAATCTTCTTCTTTATTCCTGGACATCAAGCAGTCTAGCTGTTTCGCATGATTGTAATGAGCATTGTGAAATTCATGGCCCCAGGGTCAGGGGTTCTAGTGTTAGGGTGGGGCTCTATTGATTGATTATATAGTGAAAATACATTAAATCTTTGTAAACAAACTGAGTAATTGCTAAGTGTATAGTATGAGCAATGGTGCCTCTTTCAAAATTGTGAATGCCATAGCATCTAGCTTAAAACGTCAACCAAATTCAATCATTTGAAATTTGTTGCATGATGCTCAGGTGACCTGTAAGGCCCATGGGCCTCTTGTTTAAAAAAGGGTATTCTTTTCAAATTTTCTAACTAAACTACATTGAATTCAGACATTGAAAGCATCCCCATTAAGTGTCCATTTAATGAGGATTTTTTCACACATCTGTTATTTGGATCTTTTTTAATCTTATAAAATAAATAACATAACCATCTCTAGTTTTAATTAGTTTAAGAACTAAGATTAGATATCAGTGATCTTATTTATATTTTGTACTCTTCAGTAAGCATTATGTACTGTGACCATCATTCTATATATAGCATTTTCTTACAGAGCCCGGTTTGAGAGCATGTGTGGATCTCTTGTACAGAAGTGTACTGCACTCATAGAAGATGTGTGTGCCAAATCAGGTGTCAATTCATCAGATATAGATAAGGTATAGAATTTCATATGGCCAGTTTCAGTTGGCAGTGATTTTAAAATGTTCTATCAAATATGGAGCCAAAATACACAGAGCATGTAAAGAAATAGCCATAAGCCAAAGAATATGATAAATTTTTGTATACAAGCACAGAGCTACCAACCTTTAAGATTTTGGCATTATACTTAGTTACAGGTTGATCTTCAAAAATGAATTCCTCTATTCTTCCTTCTGATTTCTGTTTTTCTCAATTATTTAAAAAGTTTGAAATGCTGGAATTTTTTAAACTGTCTAGATCAAAATCTAGATATGAATAATTTTTTTTAGGTTATTATATGTGGTGGTGGTGCTAAACCTCCATTAATACAAAAGGCAATCTCAGACTATCTAAGTAATGCGGAGATGTTGAATTCTATCCCACCAGATGAAGTGATAGCTATTGGAGCAGCCAAACAGGTAAGATTCTGTTTAATATCTGTCAGTTGTGATCTTCCTGCAGAAGTACGATGCACGTCCCTATGTCCAGAGCTTTACAGATAGATCAACAAGTGTGGAATTCCCTCTTTAATACCAATTTTTAGCCGGGCTTTGCTGAAAGCAAAGTCCTGGATATAGGCATCATGACAGACTGTCTTACTATAAATAGCACAGAAAACAAAACAAGAGGCCCACGGGTCTTATAGGTCACCTGAGTATTGTGCAACAACTTTCAAACAATTCAATTTGGTTCGTATTTTAAACCAGAGGCCATGAAATTCACAATTCACAATTTTGAAAGAGGCACCATTGCTTATCATAATTATAGACTTAGCATGCTTACTCTATTTACTTAATACCCAGAGGTAGATCAGAGTAACATTAAGAGAAAATGCACTTCCACTTTATAACCAGTTGTGCACCTCATCCCAAAGAAACCACTGAACCTGGGGCCACATATTTCAAAATTTTGCAAATTTTATCATAAAATGGTTGATTAATACCAAAGAGCAGATTTCAAAGCATTAATTTATTTTCAGACTTTGTACCCCCCCTCACCCCCGACCCAGGGAGGGGGGGGGGCATAAAAAATAACCATTTTGCTAGATGCACCCTTCTTCATCATAAATATATATACTTGGATCATTGGCATAAAACCCAGGAGCAAAGGAAAGATTTTCAAAGAATTAACCCTGGTAATGCTGAATCCGGAATATTCCGGGTTTCAAATGCATGTGCTGTGAGCTGAACCCGGAATATTCCGGGTTACGTCATATTGTTCATTAGCATATTTTTATACCGTATTTTTGGACATCCAATGGAAATAAAGTCTAATAAAAACCTTTTCCTCATTTGGTAATATGTTTGGGGTTAAAACTAGCTCAGTGACGTAGCTAAAATCTGATTGGTTGTTATTTAAAACAAGTGTGTAGTTGCAAGTTTATTTATGGGTGACCCAAAATGGCGGCGTTCTTACCACAACATGACAAACCCAAGAAGTATGGGATCAAGGCCTACATGTGTGATGCAGTGACTGGGTATTGTTTACGTTTCAAACTGTATACTGGGAAATCGGACACACCTGCTAGTGCAAATGGGGCTACATACGACTTAGTTATGGACATGATGCGAGGATACTTTGGACAAGGTTACATTTTGTACATGGACAATAATTATAGTTCACCACAGCTTTACACAGACTTGTTTGTGCTCGGGTGTGGTGCCACTGGAACATTACGAGTTAACCGGAAGGGAATTCCGCAGCGGATAAAGGACAAAAAGGTGGACAAATGTAACATGTTCAGTATATGTAATGATGAACTTGTTCTTGTGAAGTACCATGACCGTAAAGTTGTTTACCTGTTATCTACCATCGAGGAAGCTGCAAAAGCCCCCTGTGGAAGAGTGGCACCACGAACAGGAACACCCATCGAAAATCCTGCTATCGTTAATACAACAAGTATATGGGAGGCAGATCGGTCTTATCAAATGGTTTCTTACGCTACTTTCAATGCCAGGACCCTGAAGTGGTGGAAATGTGATTTCTCTAGCTACTTTGAATGCTTACCTGTGCTACAAGACCCTATTTCCAAGGAAAATGCTTCACAGAGTTTTCCGAAAACAACTTGTAACCGAACTTGTGCAGTCCGTTAATAGAGCATGTGTCCCGGGAATGTGTACAAAGCCTAGGCCTAGCACTGCAGCAGAACCCATCATGAGACTGCAGGGGCAGCACTTCCCCATGAAGATCGTTGGAACATGTTTAAAGAAAAACATTACCCCTGCTTGTGTTGTGTGCTCGGTGGCAGAGAGGCAGAGGCTCGAATCAATTGGTGAAAAAAGAAAAGAGCAGGAAAGGAATCTAGCTATCAGTGTGACAAGTGTCTGTCTGCCTTGTGCGTTGACCCCTGCTTCAAACTTTTTCACACACATAAAGACTACATAGCTGCATACAAGACCAGAGTAGATTTCAGTTCAGATGTGAAAATTATGTGCGGATACAAATCCATCCAAAGAATTTAATTATGACATTTTAATTGTATTATTCATGTTATCTGTTATAAGTTATTCAAAGTTTGAAACAGGGATCAATGCACAAGGCACATTGATATCTAGATTCTTTTCCTGTCCTTTTTCTTACAACATTTTATGTGTTCATTGTATTATTCATGTTATCTGTTATTTATTTATTTATTTATTTATTTATTTATTTATTTATTTATCTGTAATTAATCAGTTTATAAATTTCTAATGAAATATTGATTGATTTGATTTAAAAAATGATATTTCTCCTAAAATCTATTTCTTTATGTTTTTACCTGTATTTACCTGAAGATTACCTAAATATATATACCTGTATATAATTATTACCTGTTAGGTGTGAAAATTATGTGTGGATACATTAAATCCAAATCCAAATCTATTTATCATGACATATTATGTATTTATTGTATTATTCATGTTATATGTTATAAGTTACTTATTTATTTATATGTATTTAATTAGCTGCATATTTAAAGTTATTCAGTCGTTTTCATTGGTTGTTGAAATGGATTATACCTGTTGAAAAATACATATCTGTAATTGAATGAAGAAAATTATCAATTAATTATTAATTTATTTATTTCTCATAAAATATTGATTGATTTGATTTAAAAAAAAAATATTTCTCTTCTAAAATCTATTTTTTTATGTTTTTACCTGTATCTACCTGAAGATTACCTGTACAGCTGTATATATACAAATATATTGTATTATAACATGTTTGAAATAGAAGCTAAAAGTCTGCTGAACATTTTGATGTATAATATGTCTATAGTACTATTATTGTTACTAAATAAATTTGATTTAAACAAACCACCTCTTTTTCTTTCAAAACTAGGCAAAAATATTCAGCTCACAGCCTTTTCACTTTGTATTATATATAGCATTACTAGGGTTAATGTATTTTCACTATATAATCAATAGAGCCCCGCCATAACACCAGAACCCCTGACCCTGGGGCCCTAAAATTCACAATTTTGGCAGAGGCACTCTTGTTCATCATAACTATGTGCTTGGTTAGTTTATTTAATACCCAAAAGCAGAGAAGAAGATTTTCAAAGAATTAATGCATTTTCACTATATAATCAATAGGGCCCCACCCTAACACCAGAACCCCTGACCCTGGGGCCACAAAATTCACAATTTTGAAAGAGGCACTCTTGCTCATCATAACTATTTACTTACATAGTTTATTTAATACCCAGGAGCAGAGAAGAGAAGAAATAAGCATTTTCACTATATTTAACACCAGAAAAGAAATAATTTTGCATTTTCTATTTACTATATATACAGAAGTAGAGAAGAAGATTTTCAAAGAAATAATGCATTTTCACTATATAACCAATAGAGCCCCACCCTAACACCAGAACCCCTGACCCTGGGGTCATAAAATTCACAATTTTTGAAGAGGCACTCTTGCTCATCATAACTATGTGCTTTGTTAGTTTATTTAATACCCAGGAGCAGAGAAGAAGATTTTCAAAGAAATCATGCATTTTCACTGTATAATCAATAGGGCCCCGCCCTAGTACTAGAACCCCTGGCCCTGGGGCCATGAATTTCACAATTTTGGTAGAGGACTCAATGCTCATTACATTCATGCCAACAGTTTGCCTGCTTGATGTCCAGGAGTAAAGAAGAAGATTTTTAAAGATTGCAATAATTTTAGTGGTTTTGGCCCCACCCCTCAGGCCCCAGGGGGGGCGGGGACCATAAAATTCACAATTTTTGTTCCCCTTCACCCATAGATGCTTTGTGCCAAAATTGGTTGAAATTGGTTGAGCGGTTTCAGAGAAGAAGCTGAAAATGTTCAAATGTTAACACACGACGCACGACGACGGACGAAAACGGATAGCAATAGGTCACCTGAGTTACTCAGGTGACTTAAAAACCAAACAGCGTCAAAGCAGATGCTTTCTATAAATAAAATAGTCCCATAGCGAGACGATACTCAAACAAATATTTTTAATATCTCAATTGTTGGAAAAGTTAATGATCAATATTTTTGCTTGAGAATTAAAGTGTAAGAGAAATTAGATATTTGCTTTATTGGGATAATCGTGATATAACAATTTGTGCACATATGCTGCTGAATGCATATTGTAAGCGAACTATTTTTAATAGCGCTGGCTTTTCAAAATGTTGAAGAGTTTCATGTTTCATATCGTTTTCGTGGATGTTATGTTAGTGGTTATATTCTGTTTTGATTTTAATCAATTTAATAGAATAGTGAATTGGAATTTTAAGAATTAACATGCGTGAAGTTGCTTGACAATGTACATGCATCAGTGTTTCGACATGTAGTTGGTGATAAAAGTACTGTTTGATTGAAACTAAAAGAATGTCTATAAAATACACATGTGCATTATTTTAACTATTCCAAGACTGAATTTTTAAATTATGAGAAAAAATGCTTATTGAATAGAAAATATGTGGGAATTTCTTGTAAATGTTTTTTTATTACACTGTAATTAAAATTTCAAAATCATAACATATCTTTGGGTCTGGACTGTTAATTTTAAGAACTGGTATATGGGATATTTTTTTAAATCATAATCATACAAACTCTACCTGTTAAAAATCAATGGCCAAAAGGAAAAAAATTAAATATATACTAATTTCGGATCAGACAATATACTCGAGCCCGGCTTTCAGTTCTTTCAATACTTTGATTATGTGCTTATTATGCCAGTTTTTTTTTCAGGCTGCCATTTTAACAGGAGATAAGGAAAGTGAACTCCTAGAAGGTGAAAATGAAATTGAATGTCTATCAAAGACTGTATGTATAAAAGTAAGTAGACATATTTGTGAGATTTTTCTGAATATACTTTGTTAATTTTAAGATAAATGTGAGGAATCTAAGGATGCATGCAGTTTTAGATCATTTAAGTTTCATAGATGGGTGACTTATTATGGTACTGCCTGCTTCTACCTGACATCATTGTAATTTATCAAACAATTTTAGCATCTTATGAATTTGATCCTTTTCTGTTTAAGCTTCAGGAGGAGTTGTTAAAATATTAAAAAGAAATCATTATGCCCCCGTAATGAATAATTATGTCGTGGGTAAATAGTTTTTTGCCCTGTCCGTCTGTTCAGCGTCTGTCTGTCTGTTTGTCCACAAAAACTTAAACCTTGCCCAAAACTTTTTAGTGGTTGGAGCTAGGGCTTTCATTCATAGTATGTGTATTTCTTGTGATAAGACATTTCAGTGGGCATAAATACTTTTTACCTTGACAGCCATTTGAGAAAATTCAACCCTCGCCATCAGCTGCCATACGGAGACATCATTGTCTCATCATACTTACCTGTCCTTGATTGATTACGATATGTACGAGAGGTAGAGCTTATTTTGTATGAATAATTTACCTGATTTGATTTAATTTGATTGGATGCCCTGGAAAGACAATGTGTGAGCTTAGATGAGTCAGGTTGGGGAAAGACACATGTGAGCTTAGCCAAGTTAGCTAGGGGAAAGACAATGTGTGAGCTTAGCTAAGTCAGCTAGGGGAAAGACAATGTGTGAGCTTAGCTAAGTCAGCTAGGGGAAAGACAATGTGTCAGCTAAGCTAAGTTAGCTAGGGGAAAGACAATGTGTGAGCTTAGCTAAGTTAGCTAGGGGAAAGACAATGTGTGAGCTTAGCTAAGTCAGCAAGGGGAAGACAATGTGTGAGCTTAGCTAAGTTAGCTAGGGGAAAGACAATGTGTGAGCTTAGCTAAGCCAGTTAGGGGAAAGACAACTTGTGAGCTTAGCTATGTCAGCTAGGAGAAAGACAATGTGTGAGCGTAGCCAAGCCAGCTAGGGGAAAGACAATATGTGAGCTTAGCTAAGTCAGCTAGGGGAAAGACAATATGTGAGCTTAGCTAAGTCATCTAGGGGAAAGGCAATATGTGAGCTTACCGTATATACGCGCCTATAAGTCGGTATTTTGGGAGTTAAACTTTGATCAAAAACACTACGCCTGACTTATAGGCAAGTCATTAAAAGATCAGTATTTTTCTGGACCGTGCAATGTAGCATTTGATATATATTTCCAACAATTTTTGAAGAACAAGGTCTATATATGTATAATCATTTATGCATTCAAAGAGTATACATAAAGTACAAGTATTTACTTAAAGAATGGGTGGACTTAACTGGCCAGAAAAAATGCTGTAAATTTAAGTTTCATAAAATGTTTATTTTTTTCCATCATATAAACCCTTGATATCTTAACTGTGTATTCATGGTACGGATGTGAATTTAAAACACTCTTTTCGTGGTAAACTTTATAAATATCGAAAGCATGGTGCCTGAAGATTTCTTGAATATCAATCGATAATCAGGGTCACGCGTTTTACATCGTCTGAATACATAGTCAGCACATGTTTGTCGGCTGTTCTTAAGAAAATTGTAGTTGTATATTGAACAAAATAATGTTATATTAAAAGGAGAAGAGCCGACAAAAGTGTGCTCATACTTAATTTAACAAAACACATGTTCAAAACAAACTTCTTGCTTCCATTGAAATGTCTTCAGTTGACCTGTTAAATATTACAATTCGTCACGTGACGTCCACCTGCGAGTGTACTCATGAAAACAGATACATTGTATTCTTCAACCTGACCTCGATCTAAATCATGTCTTTGAGCGTGTTTTGTTGCCATTTTCAGAATTTAGCAAATTAAACATTGTTTTAATTTGGCGTGTCATCACATTTTTAAAATAATTTCATATTGACATCGCTGTAATATGCTAAACACGTATTCGAATTTTTGGAAAGAGAGAGGGATGGAGAGAAAGATGTCAACAATGGCACCGATCGATAGTCCCGCCTCCTGTAAATATTGATTATGTGACATAAAAACCACTCCAGCTACATGTCGAATTCCGGAAGACGATACTCATGTATCGTTGCTTCAATTTTGATACACGACAACAAGGCATTGTTTTTGCACAAATGTTCCACCTAATATAACCAAGTATATGTTGCGCTTTCCATTGCTCATAATTTATTTTGGATTCACTTCATTTACAGATTGTTAGAGGAGTCGCAAAAAGATCCAAAATAGGGCGATAAGTCCACCCATTCTTTAATACTTTTATTTTTATCTTAACTGTGCATTACTAACTTATTTATGTGGTGATCAAAAATTTAGTATCTGCGTTATTTAAAAAAAAAAATATTAATGGAAATCAGGTAAAATCATCAACGCATTGATTTAAAATAACGAAAGGTTCTGCAAAAAGTTGTACCGATTTATAAGCGGGTCAATGACAAATCATTCCAAATCAACCTAAAAAATACAACCGACTTATAGGCGGACCGACTTATAGGTAAGTGTATACGGTAGCTAAGTCAGTTAGGGGAAAGACAATGTGTTAGCTTAGCTAAGTCAGCCAGGGGAAAGACAATGTGTGAGCTTAACTAAGTCAGCTGGACAATATGTGAGCTTAGCTAAGTCAGCTAGGGGAAAGACAGTATGTGAGCTTAGCTTAGTCAGCTAGGGCAAAGACAATATGTCAGCTTAGCTAAGTCAGCTAGGGAAAGACAATATGTGAGCTTAGCTAAGTTAGCTAAAGGAAAGACAATGTGTCAGCTTAGCTAAGTCAGCTAGGGAAAGACAATGTGTAAGTCTAGCTAAGTCAGCTAGGGATAAGACATGGGAATATAAATCAGACATTGAGCTAGCAAAGACAGATCAGTCAGCTTCAAGAAATGTTAAGAATGTTTGCTTTGAAAACAATTTTGCTATAAAACAACTATTAAATATGAGAAAAGTGAATGACCTCTTAGATGTTTGATAGAGTGTGTTTAAACAATTGTCAATACTCTTGGTCCATCCATTAATAGAGTTTGTTATTTACAGGCCATGAATATCAACAAAGATATTGTATTATATCCAATATTCCAAGAGATGACCCCCTTTCCAGCACGAAGACAAGAAGTGATGAATTTATGTCCAAATCAAACATCAATGGAGATGGATATTTGTGAATGCACAGATATTGAAAATCCAGACACTGCAAAGTGTTTAGGAAAAGTGAGTTCACTTTATGATGAAGTTTCTGATTCTCTCTTAAATACCTGTCTTAAGAACCCTCTCTACACTGCACACTAAAGAGTTCTGATTCTATGGTATTTTTCTGCCCTTAGATCGAAATATGAAAAAATAGAAATTTACTATATATTACTCAATTTGTAATTACTTCAAGTATTCTTAACATTTTAAAAAGACCAAGATAAATTAACTGAACGTGTTATTTACATGTACAGTGTTTTCCCTTTATTTCAAAGTAAATGGTTAGAGATAAGTTGTAACAGGTTAGGGGCTGAGGTTTTTGAACAAAATCTCTGTAGACCTAACAACTAATTTTTATTTCAAAGCAGCATTTTTGTACATTGAAGTGGTCGGTGGTTCTTAGTGAAAACACTGCATGTATTTTTTCTATTGAAGTATTTTCTCTATTAACAATGATTTCTATTCTTTGATACTGTGTTGTCTTTCAATATTTTTCTTGGAGGTAAATGCAATGCATCATGTAGTGAAAATTAAATAAATAAGCACAATATTTACTCCTTTATATAATATATTTTTCTCTATGTCCAATAAAAATTTGCACTTGTGTAGAGAGGGTCCTAAAAGATGAACAGGATTCGTAAAAGGAATGTGTATGCCATTTTCGATTGGATTCTCACTATAACTGAGGACCCTTATATAAAGTGGCTGAATTACTCACTGTTCAGTGTAATCAGTCATCAAAGGTGTAGATGGATGTATGCTATGCAGCACTGGGTAGTGACAAAAAATAACTGTATACTTCTAATGCAGGAAAGTAAGATCCCAAAAAAACTTACAATAGTAGCACAAGTCAGTGCAGTATACAAACACAAAAATGTAGTTATTGGTAATGCAAGATATCCAGCACTAACAGGAGTTGCCAGTCCTCAATCCTCACCTATACCCTTGACAATAAAGCAGTTGATGTGATGAATGTGAAAAATATACCCTAGTGCTGATATCGTAGATAGTGATACATGTAATAATATTGATAATGGTGTCTGCCTATTTACAAGTCTTGTTCAGCTTTAATCAAGACATGAGTTTATGGGTCTCTTCTTACAATGAAAAACAAACCCCTTTGAAAATAGTGATTTTGCAGTAGTTTATATACCTAATTCTGCATGTTCTGTCTTTTGAATTAGATTGTGATGAGACAATTACCAGAAAAAGCCTGTATATCCATGACTTTTCATCTGAGGAGGTAGGATAACATTGTTTTTAATTCATTTGACAATGTTAATAATTTTCATTTTATACGTAATGTGTATCACTCAATTTTACTGTTGATTTTACACTATCACGTGACATCGTGATCCGACTTTCCAGATCACCACACTGTGGTTTTCTGAATCCATATCACCACTCTCTGAAACTGATGATGTAGCATGCAGAAACATGACATTTTTCTGGCGCATTAAAAAGTTCCTCGTTATTATCCTTTGTTTTATGGATAAATAGTATACAATTGATCTCTAAAGTTTTATTTTGATATATTTTGCTAGATATGAGGGGGTATTTAATAAATTTATCATTATAACAAACTTGATCCGAAGAGCAGTATCACGTTGAGTTGACAGGCGCGAATCATCAGATCAAACTCAATGCTTCGCGTCTCGTTAGATCTGATGATCCGCGCCTGTCAACTCAACGTGATATGACCCTTCGGATCAAGTTACTGTTATAATAATATATATATTTATTCTAGGGATGTCAAAATTGTCAATAATTGGTATTCGAATATTCGATAGTACTATTCGAATATATTCGAATATTCGATAAAATAAATACATCTTGCATAATACAACTTCACTCTTTTGTCAAGCAATATACGTTTTATGTCATTATTTTGGAATAAAATTTCATGTAGAGTTTAGTAAATGCACTTTAATTACATGTATATTCTTAAAATATTTTACAGAGTATATGAAGTGTTGACATCCAAAATATAAAAAAAAAATTTGCCCCCGAAAATTCAAAAGATTCTTTTAATAAGTTCCAGATTAATTAATCATCTTACCAAAGTGTACATTGATAACCGTACAGATTTATACCACACAGAACAATTATCTAATGGAGAAACATTAAAAGCAATTACTCTAAGCTAATTAATTTCCTGATAATGATTTTAAATGATGTATACATAAACAAGGGATCCATGTATGTTGCTTAAAAAATGTGTCTTTTCAACAATACAAACTAATTCTAAGTACTGGACACTGTTATACCTCTAATTAAATGATCAAATGAATAATTTTTATTATTTTAATAAATACACCCTTCACACCTTTAAGGTAATCCAAGAGGAGTGTCTTTTAATTTTGTTTTAAATAAAATCTTATTGTTGGTCAACGATAATAATTGATTCAATTTCTGATAAAACTTCAGTTTTTGCCAGATTTTTTTTTGGTTTTGATGCTTGTATACTTAAAATCCGAATATTTGAATCACAAATTTATATTCGAATATCAACTCATCGAATGAATATTCGAATATTCGTTGACATCCCTAATTTATTCTCATATTTAAGGATGAAAATTTTAAAAGTTTTAAGATTTTTCTACATCAAGCTTGTAGATATGATGCATCTAGGAATAATCACTATTTTGAATATGATCTATATTTTCCAGTTATTTGACTGTTAGTGGGACATATGTACCAATTAAACTAGTCTGGACAATAAATCTAGGCATGGACAATATTTAGACTTGCTTTTGATGCTTGATTTGATGTACATTTTCCAGATGAGTGAACTAGAGGGCTGGGACAATCTCACTAATGTCCTGTTTTTTTGTCAGAGCAACTGCTCATAAACTGCTGCACAGAATTTGATCAAACTTTGCAGATATTTAGGATACATTGTGTAGATGTGCATATTTCCAGGAAATTCTTATTATGTTCCCCAAACGAAGTTGGGGAACATATTGCTTTTACTCTGTTTCTTATTATTAGGTCTTTCCACCTGTCTGTGGAAAGACCTATTGATTTCCTTCTGTTTCTTTTTTTCCTTTTTCTTATTATTTTTTATTATTTTTCCGCCGTGTGATTTTGAGTTTCAAGATTTATCGTAAAGATTTTAAGTCGATAAGAATGTACTCCGTAAAAGATTTTTGCAGTTGACCCTGCGTATATGAACTTTGACCCCTTTCGGAATTACGACCCCTTTCGCAAAAAAGCTTGTTATCGCTACTCCTCTGAAACTGTAAACCGTAGAGAAATGAAACCTTCACTAATGTCTTCGACTAATTTAGAAGACACTTCATTGATTCATTGCGAAAGTATTCATTGACCCCTTCAATAAGTTATTGCCCCTGGAAGTTTTAGAATTTTACAAATAATTAAAAATTTTCAAAATGAGAAGACGTAGAGACATGGGACCAAATGCATAAGAATCATTGACCTTTGACCTTAAAATTCATTTAAAGGTCAAAGGTCAAGGTCATTCCAAAACTGAGAAATTTAGCTCTTTTTATATCTCTTTTCTCTTTTAACATATACTTAATGTCTATGCATCATTAATATGTACTTTTAAAACTGTTTCAAAGATTTTATTCTTGTCCCCTAACATGAACCCATTTAAAAGTTATTGCCCCTTGTGCGAAAAACCTTGTTATCGCTACTCCTCCGAAACTTTAGACCGTAGAGACACCAAACCTTCACTAATGTCTTAAGGGTCTTTAGACCTAACTTCACTGTATAGATGCAAAAGAATCTGATAACCCCTTGTATGAGTTATTGCCCTTTAACTTCTTTATACTTACTATTAAACCTTGTATCTTGAAAACTATAAATGGTAGAAGCATGGGGCCAACTGCATTGAGACCCATGACCTTTGACCTTGAATATTTTGTCAAGGTCAAAGGTCAAGGTCATTGCAAAAATGAGAAATTAAGCTCTTTTTATATATCCTTTGTCTTTTAACATATGCAATCAGTCTTTGCATCATTTATATGTACACTTAAAACTATTTCAAAGATTTCATTCTTGTTCCCCAAGGTAGACTCTATCAAAAGTTATTGCCCCTTATGCGAAAAACATTGTTATCACTACTACTTCAAAACTGTAGACCGTAGAGGCATGAAACCTTCACTTATGTCTCAAGGGTCTTTAGGCACACCTTCATTGTATAAGTACTAAAGGATCTAATGACCCCTTATATGAGTTATTGCCCTTTAACTTCTTTATACTTACTATTAAACCTTATATCTTGAAAACTATAAATGGTAGAAGCATGGGGTTAATTGCAATGTGTCCCTTAACCTTTGACCTTGAAAAATTTTTCAAGGTCAAAGGTCAAGGTCATTTCAAAAAAAAAATTTTTTTTTTTACATTTTCATTTTTTTTCAAGCCATTTCCCTTAAAATTAAATTTAGAGTGTAAAATATAAAACTATAAGAAATTTAAAAAGGTGGAAAGACCTCTTATTGTTCTATGAACAATAAGTCTCCTAGTTAAGGTCTTCCGTTTCCAACGGAAGACCTTATTGTTTTCGTTCGGTTTCTTTTTCCCTATTATTATTATTTTTTTCTTACCGATTTTTGTGCACGCGAGTTCTCGGAAACGGCTCGGTCGATTTTTATGAAACTTTCAGATCTAATAGATATTGATTTGAACCTTATTGGAAATTTTTTATATTGATGACGTCACTTCTGATCGTGAGATATGGACGATTTTCTGATTTTCAGAGGGTCGGCTTGTCCAGGAAACTCCTCCAAAACGACTTGAGATATTGACTTAAGATTTTCAGTGAAAGTAAACGAAGGTTTAGTGAATTGTAATTGGGTCTCAAAATCTTTCTAGCGCAAAAGGCGCCGGAGCTCGGTAGAGCCCAAAAAAATGTCTCAGAAACATCTCACAAAATTTGACGTATTCTATTTCATATCTTTACACCTGTTCATAATTTGTTAAAGCATATTGAAGAAAAAATTTGTAAAATAGTAAGACCTTTCATTTGATATCAAGAAAATGGAGATGACCCCTCAAATTAGGGGCTCAGAGGGGTCAAAAGTCTTTTATCTATAACTCTCTAATGATCAATATTTTGTTATACATTATTAAGACAAAAGTATTTATCATAACAATTAGCAACAAAATATGATAAAATTTTGATCATATGTTACGTAATTAGGGGTCACAAGGGGCCAGAATGTCAAATTTTTGACGCTTTATATCTAAAAAAGGGGGAATATTTTTATAAGCAGTATTGAACAAAAGATGGTCAGAATAATGTTCTAAATAATATGCATACTTTGAATTTTTTGTAAAACTGACCCATTAAGGACTTTTAGGGTGACCCCTAGATATTTCAATTTAGCATATCTCCACAACAAGTAGAAATCTCTGAATAAGTGTTGAACAAAAAATCTTCAAAATAACAAGACCTTTCATTTGATATTAAGAAAAAGGGGCTGACCCCTCAAATTAGGGGCTCAGAGGGGCCAAAAGTCTTTCATCTTTAGCTTGTTCACGATAAATATTTTGTTGTACATTACTGAAGCAAAAGTATTTATCTTAACGATTAGCAACAAAATATTATAAAATTTTGGTCATAGGTTACATAATTAAGGGTCACAAGGGGCCAGAATGCTAAATCTTTGAGCTTTTATATCTCGAAAAGGGCGAATATTTTGATAAGCAATATTGAACAAAAGATGGTCAGAATAATGTTTTAAACAATATGCATACTTCAAATTTTTGTAAAACGGCCCCATTAAGGACTAAATATTTCCATTCAGCATATCTCCACAGCGAAAAGAAATCTCTGAATAGGTTTTGAACAAAAAATCTTTGAATTCACATGACCGTTTATTTGAAATCAAGAAAAAGGGGCTGACTCCTCAAATTAGGGGCCCAGAGGGGCCAAAAGTCTTTCATCTTTAGCTCATGAATGATAAATATTTTGTAATACATTACTGAAGCAAAGATATTCATCTTAATGCTTTGCAACAACGTTTTATAGAATTTTGATTACATGTTGCTGTTGCGTAATAAGGGGTCGCAAGGGGCCAAAATTCTATATTTTGGATGCTTTACATCTCAAAAAGGAGGAATATTTTAATTACAAGCATATTGAACTAAAGATGCTCAAAATAGGTTGATCTCACTCAGAAAAATTAAATTTAATGATGGAAAACTTAATTTCATTACCTTATTACGAATATCTCAGTCAAAATCACATCTCATCGATAAATTCAACGGAAGACC